TTGTGGTTCCAGCTACTTTGAAGGCTGAGGTGGAAGGATCACCTGAGCCCAGCAGGTCGAGGCTGTGGTGGCCATGAGCATGCGACTGCATTCCAGCCTGGACAACAGAGTGAGACTCCAACTCAAAAAAACGCAAAAAACAAAAAACAACAGCAGCAGCAATAAAAAACAAAGAAAAGAAAACCTTTTTCTAATATAGAGGACCAATGTTTAGAAGACTATTATGAAAATCATTTCTTTTTTTTTTTTTGAGTTGAGTCTCACGCTGTCACCCAGGCTGGAGTGCAGTGGCACGCTCCTGGCCAACGCAGCCTCAACCTGCTGGGCTCCGGCGATCCTTCCGCCTCAGCCTTCCAAGTAGCTGGAACTACAGGCATGTGCTACCATGCCCAGCTAATTTTTGATTTATTGTAGAGATGAGGTCTCATCAAGTTGCCTGGGCTGGTCTCGAACCCACGGGCTCAGGCAATCCACTCACCTCGGCCTCCCAAAGTGCTGGGATTACAGGCTGAGCCACAGAGCCCGGCCATTTCTTTAATTATAACCAACTTAATCACATATAAAATTTCTTTCATAAATTCTCTTTTGTGAACCTTATGACTACTTACACAGATCACGTACAATGCACTTGGACTTCCTGTCTTGTCTTAAACTTCTCTCCTTTTTAAATAACCTGTCACAGCCAGGCTCGGTGGCTCAGCCTGTAATCCTGCACCTTTGGGAGGCTGAGGTGAGTGGATTGCCTGAGCCCATGGGTTTGAGACTCGCCTGGGCAGGCGAGACCTCATCTCTACAATCAATCAAAAAAATTAGCTGGGTGTGGTAGCACGCGCCTGTAGTTCCTGCTGCTTGGAAGGCTGAGGCGGAAGGATCGCCGGAGCCCAGCAGGTCGAGGCTGCGGTGGCCAGGAGCGGCCACTGTACTCCAGTCTGGGTGACAGAGTGAGACTTCAACTCTAAATAAATAAATAAATAAATAAATAAATAAATAAATAACCTGTCGCCAGCACAGTGGCTCACACATGTAATCCCCGCACTTTGGGAGGCGGAGGTGAGAGGATTGCCTGAGTTTAGGGGATTCAGACCAGTCTGGGCAATATAGCGAGACCTTGTCTCTACAATAAAAATTGTTTGAAAATTAGCCAGGTGTGGTGGTGGGCACCTATAGTACCAGCTACTTGAAAGTATTGCCTGAGTCTAGGAGGTGGAGACTGCAATAACTGTGATCATGCTACTGAACTACAGTCTGGGTGACAGAATGAGACTGTGACACACACACACACACACACAAAGAATAGTATAGTTCTCTGGAATATGCCAATACCTTCAACTCCAGATATTATGCTCTCAAGACAATAGCATTTTTTAAAAAGTCATCCTGATATATCATATCAATATGAAATTGGAATACTAAATCAATATAGCTGAAATTACTCTCATGTCCTGTGTTTTT